AAAAAAGATAGTAATTGTGAGATAGTAATTTAACTCATTTAGAATTTAATTTCTTACAAAAATGTAAAAATTCTCTATATTTTAATATAAATAGTGCTAAGATATAGCATTAAAAATTATTTTTTACTGTTAAAATATTTGACTATTTTTCTTTAATTTACAATAAATGCAAAATAAGATAATATAGCGGCAATATCTCTTAAATTAAATATTTTGTAGTTTTCTTTATTCATATTATAATTTACTGTAATAGTCAAAAATAATAATTTGCTTGAAAAAATTACAAAATAAATTTATAACAGAAAAGTAATGCAAGAGTAAAGTGTAATTTTACCTGAAGATTCAATAGATAAAGAAATATCCTCTTGTCTTGGTAAACTATTGCGAGAACGATGCCGTCTTTGATTCTGAGTATATGTGGTTTCACCTAAACCTGGAATAAATAAAAAAAGGTAGTTATTTCAAGATAGTAATTTTTACTCAATCTGTATTATAACTGTTATACTGAAGCTAGATAGTTGATATTGACCTGGTGCTGGAATTCTATGAGAAAGTAAACTTGCATCTATTTCTTCATTATCATTGGCTGTAATCAATAAAGTATTACATGTAATTAAAGTTTTATAAATAATTATAAATAAAAATTGGAATATATTTTAAAATCTACTTATCATGGAAATATTTTAATAAAAATTAACAGTTATATTAATATTTATCTTCAGGCAGTAATTCTGATAGCTAATAATGTAGATTAAAGCGTTCAAACATACGTAAAAAGTGTTCTAAAGAAATATCACCATTCATAAGAGCACTTTGTTCTTCTTTAATTTGATTATCTCTCTCTTATTATGTTGTGTGCGTGTACGTCTAACACGTATATTATTTTGCAAGCAAGAATAATCAATTCTTGGCTTGTTATGATTTCCGACAAGTGTTCTATAAGAAAAATTGTCAATGTACATACAATGTGTATATGTAAAAATATAAAAAATTACTGTGTGAAGGAACTGTACAAATTTGTACGTATTGAAGAAAAAACTTAAAAAATAGATATATTGCCTTATACAAAGAGGCAGAACGTACCTCACATATTACAAAAACTACCGCTATACCCTATATTAATAATATAGTTTTAAAATTTGTATGTTTATAAGTACAATTCAGATAAAGTCGCTAACGCAGCTCTTTGGTTGTTTGCACTGAGCAATAAAAAAAAAAGTGTGTTTGAGATCGTGATAAACGGCATCTCGAAAACCGCGTTCGGTTGCCTGACAACGCATGCACGCTTGCGACAATGAATATTCGCGTAACATCTCGCATTACAGAAATTGCATCGCTGCAAATTCACAGCATGGATCCTTTCAATATTCGCTTTCAAGAACATTCAAGCAATAATAAAGTCAAGCTAACGGTTCGCAATAACATGGCCTCAAACAAAGGAAGGATACAAGCTGTAAACAATTCTGGCAAAAACATGTAACGATCGTCGAATTGAACCATGACGCAGGCACGGTGACGTAGGTCGCCGAGGACCAATCACCTTCCCGAAAATGGGTGGAAATTGCTGGAAAGAGCCTCGTTTCGGGAGGTGATAAAAGCCCTTCGCCGTGCCGCGGCGAGAAGAGTACGCTTTCGGTTTTTTCGCTCGCAACACGTATCGCTATACGACCGCTTTATACACCGCTGAGTTACACCGCTTTCCGCGAGGAAATCTATTCTGCTTGCTATCGCCGTTTGCCATTCTAACGCCTGTGCGGGTTACCGCTTTCTACGTTCTTTCAATCTAAAAGAAACAACTCTGTAAATACTGTAAATATAGAACATTATAGACTCTTAATTTTGGTTAAGTGCTGTGAACTTTCTTGTGGTCGTCCTTCACCTCGCGCCTTCCCGCGCAACCTTGCGCTTCCGGACAAAGAGTAATAAGAAAAGAATAAAGCAACTAAGGTAAAAGTACCAATTCTTGAACACATTTGTTCCTATTCCTGGATACTTTGTAGTTTTAAATTTTTTAATAATAATAAAGTGTATAATATATACAATTATGCATAATATATTAGATTTATAATACATATATACAGATAATAATAAATATTATTTTCTTGCATCATACAATTTTACAATTAGTTATAATTGTAATGTTATAAGGAATAAAATAAATTTTCGCCAGTAATAAAATAAAATCAGTGTTTAATGATCGGCTTGACTGGCAATATATTAAAAATTATAACGACGTTTCGACCTCTATTTTGGGTCCTTATCAAGTTTACGATGGATCAATGTGCGTCAAACAATATAAAATTAATCATCGTTACGTTTTAACAAGGCGGATGGAAAACAGAAATAAACTTTGTGAGGCATGACCGTCACGTATAGCGCCTGACGAACGACCAAAATAGAGGTCGAAACGTCGTTATAATTTTTAATATATTGCCAGTCAGGCCGATCATTAAACACTGATTGTAATGTTATATTTATTTAAAGATTAAAAGTACAAAAATGATCAGGAATTGTAATATTAAAGAATAGGTATTTTTGCCTTATATTATTTTGCCTTTCAGTGACAACAATGCTCAGTATACATTTTTAGATAGTGAATTTTGTTAGTAACTTTATCTAGACTTGACATATATATTTATCTAACAAAACGGGAAGAAAAGAGGCTATGAGGGTCAAACGCGGTTCTTCTTGCGTAATGTCTCATTTATTCATCTTCTTGGATATAACTTCAAACGTTTCGGCTCAATTTCGAGCCATCCTCAGCGATAACAATATATTTATCTCATATACATATATGTATAGTACAATTAAAATTTTCTTAGTAAATACATACCTTACCAGCATAGCGAACATGTATACTGTACAATTGAGTAATGTTTGGTCTTTTTGGTACAATCTATAAATATATATGTATATAATATTAGTAAATATTATAAATTAATTAAAGAATATATAATAATAATATGTGTACATGTGTATTAAATATTACATTTTATTATGTATATATATACAAAGTGGCTTATTTTAACTAATCTACTGAAATATCTTAAAATCGATAAACTTTTTAATTCTATGACATACATATATAACATACCGTTGCCTTTTGTATGTAACTTGTTTGATGATATTTTATATTCAATGCCTATAATGATCATAGCAGTGTATAAACATGCTTTGATAGCTAAAGACAAATCTTCCCAAAAAGTCCAAGAAATAAACGAATGGATGTTGATGTTTTCATAACATTTCACAAGATTCTAATAGCGGAAACAGTAATAATAAACTCCTGCTTGAAAGAATCTCGTGCTTTGTTGATGAATTTTTTCTTGATGGTTGATGACAAGCTTCTTCTGCAAAGTGCTACAGATGCATGTTATATGTTAATTGTTCTCAGTTTTTTTTCTATCTGAAAAATGGACATTTAGTAAAGTTAATCAGTAGCATAATATTCAGAATGTCTTGTGCAGAGTAATTATAATAAAAATGTTATTAAATCTCATGAATATATATACCTTATCACAGTTTATGAGACAGCTAATAATTTTAAGGTTTCGACATCAGCAACTTGTTTTGTTAATGATTTCTTTCATTTCAGCATTAATAGAAATAGATTGCACAAATCATACCATGCTACTTTTAATAAAGATATAGAAATCTAATATATCACTGTAAATAAGAAAGAGCTATTATTTATTAGTATATTGCTAGGAATGACACGTAATTGTGTGCATTTGTAAAAAGTATTTAAATACAGGATACTTACATAAATAATGACAAATATAATCAATTAAACGTTTTCTGATATTCATTTTCTTCCGATTACAGTACTCTAATCTTTTACATGTGCAATGACACGTCGTTTGAAAAAAAAGAATTTGGAGAAATTGTAGTCAATTTCAGTGCGTAAAAACTATATAATAACTTATTATGTGTGTACAACGTGATGTTACGAGAAGTTAGGAAATTTGTCATAACAATGATGTGCGAGATAAAAACGCAGAATGATACAATATAATTATTAATAACACAAGCACACAAAAAATAAAAAGTGTCTTGGCCGAGACACTAGTGTATTCCCATGTATTTTGACTCGCTGAATCCAAATCCGAAGTCAGAATTGTCAGATTGGCTCTCAGTTCCGAGCAAACCTCAAAACTCAACGAAACGAACACTTTTTTTGAGGTTTGCTCGGAACTGAGAACCAAACTAACAATTCTGACTTCGGATTCGGATTCAGCGGGTCAAAATACATGGGAAAACACTAGTGTAGTGTCTCGGCCAAGACACTTTTTATTTTTTGTGTGCCTGTGTAATTATTGGGCAGCAAAGTATCAACAAAAAGTAGAGCTATACTTCCTTGATAACAGTTAACATACATTTTTTCCACGAAGCACCTGCGTCGAATGGAACGTGAGTCCACGTCCCTTCCTCTCGATCCATTCCCTCAGGATCGGCTGGACGGCCTCGCGAATCCTCCTCCCAGAGGTCATGCGGGGGTCCGCAATCCTGTCCTCCCACTCCTGGAAGAGGATTTCCTTACTTTGCAGCCTCAGCACTGCCCTCTCCCTGGGTAGAATACGCCACCCAGGTTCTTAACCTCCTGCATCCGCCGATAGGTCCTCGCGTGTGACTTCGCGAGGAGATTAATCGGCGGAATGCCCGAGAGGGCAGTCGCCCCTGCGTGCGAGACCGTACGGAACGCTCGGGACGCCCTTTGCGCGACCAGGCGCTGGACGCCCACGAGTTGTCTCAGGAGCGCCGGGCTATTAGACACCTTGTCTGCCCATATTGGCGCTCCGTACAACAGTACCGAATGCATCGCGTCCGAATGCATCACCGTACCGGTCATCGCGTACAGGCGACGCACGTGCCCGCCCGCCCCGCCCAAGTTGGGCAACAGCCTGGCGAGACTGTTCGCCATAGCCTTGGCTCTGGGGACAGCGCGAGCGACGTGCGTGCCGAAGCTGCCGGTGCCGCCCAGTCATACTCCCAGGTTCTTAATATCCTGGGTGATTGGGACGCGGACTCCCTCAATGTTGAGGCTGAGCCTCTCCGGCGGTGGTCCCCGCAGGCCACCGTCCCAGAACCACGCGGCCTGCGTTTTCTGCGGGGCCACCACCAGGCCCAGCCTCCTAATAGCCCTTACCACCGAAGCTGCCGCCACGTTGGCCAGTCTCCTTGCCTCCTCCCACGTCTCCCCGCCGACCCCCAGGTACACGTCATCCGCGTACCCGGTCAGCCAACAGTCGGCGGGAAGAGGCACCCGGAGGACCCGGTCGTAGGCCATAATCCAGAGCAGGGGTCCTAGCACGGACCCCTGCGGCACCCCGCAACCCACGACCTTGGTCCTCAGGTCTCCCTCACCGTCCGCGAACACGAGGCCCCTGTCCCGGAAGTAGTCGGCTATCACCGGTACTAAGTACGGCGACACGCCGAGCTCCAACAGGGCCTCTCCTATTACCGGCCAGGGCAGGGAATTGAAAGCATTTTGAACGTCGAATTTGACGCCCAAAGATACCCCGCCCTGGCTTGTGACCTCTCCCACGCGGGCCATGATGCGCGTGATCGCATCAATAGTCGACCGGCCCGCGCGGAAACCAAATTGGTCGTCGGAGAGGCCCGGACCCTCTTTCCGGGACAGTTGCTAGACGAGGCGTTCGGCGATGATCCGCTCGAAGATCTTGCCGACCTCATCCAGCAGGCAAATCGGACGGTACGCCGATGGGGAGTCCGCGGGTTACCCACCTTGGGAAGCAAAACGAGACTGGCCTGCTTCCATCTATTGGGGAACCGGCCGGCTCTCAGACACGCGGTGTAGATTCGCTGTAGTCTGTCGGCCAGTCCCACAGCGACCAGGACCCAGGCCCTCCCGGGGGTCCCGTCCGGGCCAGGCGCCTTGCGTTGCCTGACCCGTTTTATCGCTCGCTCCAACTCCTCCCACGTGACCCCCAGTTCCTCGTCCCATTCGGGGACTTGGACCTCAGGGAAGAGGACGGCGCCGCCGTCCCCCTCTGGGAAGAGTGTGTCTACAACTCTTCCCGCGAACTGGGGGTCTAGGGTCTCCGTGAGCGGGGGCGTCCATGGTTTCAAACGGTCTAGCACCAATTTGTAAAGACGCCCCCACGGATCCTCATTTAAGGAGCGGAGGAGCTCTCCCCAGGAGTGCTTCTTGGCTGCTGCTATCGCGCCGGAGAGCGCCTGGCGGGCAGCACGCCAGGTCTCCCCAGCCTCTTCCTCGCAACGGTCTCCGCGCCCAGCTTTGGCGCGGAGCCATTCCCGCATTGCGTGGACGGACACTCGCCTCAACACCGCGATTTCGTCCGTCCACCAATACATTGCCTTCCTCGGAAGGAGCCTTTTGACGCGGGGCATCGCGGCGTCGCAGGCTCGAGACATGAGGTCCCGCAGCCGGTCCGCCCCGTCGTCTACGTTAAAGGCCCCCTCATCGTTCGCATCTACGTGCGGTTGTAACCGAACGATACGTAATCGGGCTACGGGGTACGCGATTTTGTCCTCTAAGTCATCGGTCGCCACTCGGTTTAACCTTTAACTACCGAGAAAGTAGGTATTCGTAATGCAAACGACACTAAAGTTGAACAATTTGTTTAAACAATTTTATTTTTTCATCCCGCCACGGGTGCCTCGTCAGCATCGCCTGTGCTCAAGATATCGCTAGGTATGACCTTGGTCGGCCAGCCAGGGATACCGGTTGTCGCGACAACCGCTTGATCAGGTATTTATATACGTCTATCTCCTTAACCCTTTCACTTTTTGGATTTCCGCCACGGGTGCCTCCTCTGTGTTGCTCTGCCTACCGCCTCCGCTATCTATCAGTCGCCTGCCTTATTCGTGGAACCAAGATGGCCGGACAACCGCTTGATTGGGTAAGTCCCCGCACTAAGGTAAGTCAACGCAACTAATTCTCTTTT